CCTAAGGCACACGGCTCTTGTTTCGAGGCCCCTCCCGCCACCCCGGAGCCAGTATTGGCCCAGAGATGAGTGACCACCGGGAGGACGGCGGGCAGGTAGTGGCCACGGGGACGCGGAGGCGCGCAGCTCGAGAACGCCCGCACAGGACAGCCCAGAGGGGCCCACACGACCGCCCGGGCCCGGAGAAGCCCCGGTGTGCCCGGCGGCCCTCCCGCAGCCACGGCCAGCTGGACAGAGCACGCGGCAGGGCGCCACGTGGCCCGCACAGGGGCGGCGTGAGCCCCCGACGAGATGGGCGTGGGTTTATGGAGCCCACAGAGCAGATTCCTCTTTGGGGGGCTTCTGACGGCAAGGACAAGCCCCCTACCGTGAACGGCTAAGAGGCGGTCCCAGGAGGGGCCGGGAAAGGCCGAGACCACCCCAGGGCCTCTCAGACCCGTCCTGGGGGGAGCGTGCTGGCCACTCCGGACTCCCGCCTGAGGCGCAGCGAGAGCGGCCCTCCCCTCCCCTCAGTCAACCCCCTGAGCCCCCGCTCCAGAGTTCTCCAGGGAGCCTCCAGGCTCAGGCCTGCGGGGAGCGGACTGTCGGAGGCCGCTTAAAACTGTCCGCAGCTGCCCGCCAGCACACGGCTTCAGCGTCCTCAGGGCCTGCTGCCCCCGGCTTCAGGACAGCAGAGTCTGGGAGTCGCCGAGTCCATCACAGTCTGGACATAGGGGCACTCAGACCTTGCCCCTTCCCAGCCCTTTCCAGGGGCACTGTGCTCAGCCCCCCACGACGCCCACAGCCCCCTGGTGCCCAGAGCCCTGGGCACCCCGCCGTGAATACAACAGCAGCCTGGCTGCGGGCTCTCTGGACTCTTGTTCCCCGTTCCTCGCCTGGCTGGCTGATGGAGCAATCCTCCCAGAGTCCACCTGTGCCGCTTGGCATTTGGGGGACACTGTGACAGAAGCCAGCAGCCACGCCCTGGGCCAGCTGAGCCGCCCGTCAGTCCCTTCGGGGCAGGCCCCGGGGACTGACCTGCCTCCGAGGCGGACGACCCCTACACTTGCTCTGGCCCGAGACCCCGCTGGAGGGCGAGGCGGGGCCCAGTGGGGGCCACCAGCGCTCCTCACGGGAAGAGGAGCAGAGGCCCCCGGCAAGGAAGCCCTGGGGATTAGCTGCCGCTCACAGCGCGGGCGAAGGCGGCGGGAGTGTGGAGAAGCCGGCAGCAGCCAGGAGGCCGCCGAGCAGCCGGGAGGCGTTAGCTCCCTGCAAGCAGCAAGTCAAGGCCCGGAGAGGGTGATTTCTTGTTTTCCTGTTGATTTCTCAACTGGGAAGAAAACACCTTCTGCAGAAAAATGAACAGGGAAAGTTGTTTAACAGTAAGTAAGGCACAGCAGAGTGGCACAGCAGAGTGCCACAGGCAGAACTGGAGAGAGGAGGCTGGAGACACGTGGACAGCGGTCACGTGGACGCCTCGCGCGTGGCCGGCAGGTGACAGCCGTCCTGATCTTCCTACAAGACGATGTCTCTTGATAATGAAGTGCGAACGCGGTGAGAGGTGATGACGAGGGGGCTGATGGGCGAATGACAAGCCAGCGCCTCCTCTGTGTGCCCCCAGCCCTCGCGGGGTGACCGTGCAGTTGTGGTGGACGGTCCCCGCAGCTGTCTGCGGCTCCCGCGGCCTCCGGCGGCCTCGAGCCGCCTCGCTGGCGAGCCGGAGCCCGAGAACCTGGCGCCCAGGCTCCGGTCCTGGCTTGAAGGGGGCGGGCGGG